TTCAATTAAAATTCAACTGAGAAAACAAAAAGGGGGTTCATTCACTACAAAATTCACATCTCATAGTAGACTTCAGTTGGCAGCACACACTCTTAACTTTCTGAATTCTTCAAAAGATGGAAGTAGAGTGGCAAAAAGATAATTCCATCAAATAAGAGCAAAAAGGATAGGAAGGGTCCTTTGGAAAGAGATCCATATGCGTAATGGAAGGGACCCTGTTTGCTGGTAACCTGGGGGAGAGGGTATGCTTGTGTTTTTCCAGAGAATGCTAAATGACCTATTTGGGTACTGGAGGGTGCTGTCAAGCTATACCAGGAAGCCCAATTTGGAGAAGTTAACAAGCTGGCCAGATCCATCCTGAGACCTATTGAAGGAACTGACAAAATGGACATCTAAGGTCTAAATAGATGGGAAAATACATAAAGGTAACTGAGCTAAATTCTCCTAGCATTAAGGCAAAAAATGCAAAATATGCATGTTAGCTAAAGATAAAAGACTTTATTCCTTCCAAAACTTTCTGACAACAGATCTTTGCTTACTGACAAATAACAAAATCTAACTAGCATATTTGTGGCTTAAAATTTCTTAAAAAAGAAAAATTTACAATACAGTTACTATAGGTTATTCTGGCCAGAAATATATAGCTGAGTGCACTCATAATAAAGATATTTGTTTGTGCAGACTGTGCATTCATCTATGTGTGTGTCATTCTGTGAACAGCTGTTCCCTCTTTTTTTTCCATTTTGTTCATTTGTTCACACTACAATTTGGAGAATAGATTTAAAAGTATTCTTTTTCTTAAGTTATCAGTTGGTCTAAGTCATATCAAAATTGGTCTATACACAGTTTATCAAAAAGTTTAAGCTAATTGGGCAAAAGTTCCTTAGAGTGAAGAAAAATTATTCAGAGCAGAGTCCTATTGATGAGCAGGAGGTGTGGCCAAACTTTTGTTCATTAATGAGGAGCTCCCAATAATGTCAATAGTCTCCTACAGACACCCTCAATAAATTGGTCATTGGTTTAAAGGTAACAGTTTTTCAAAAAAATTAAAATTGGGTTTTCTCTTAAACATGGTTTTGGTATTCGACTAAATTATGAAACAAAGGTTTGCACATGTGTATGGTAACTCAGTGTTAATCTCTCAGTGTCTTTAGTGTATCCGTGATTCCAAGTGT